ATTTTTCTTACATCAAAAACACTAAAAATGGTGCGCTCAAGACCGGCTCCAACCGACACGACCGCTTGGCAACAGTTTGAGAACGATGAGGCCAAGCCTCGGTTCCAAAACTTCAAGAACCGAAAACTCTTTTTTGAGTTGGGATTTATTTTTACAGAGGAAACCGATGGTTGTTTTGGACCCGAAGTTATGGACATCGTGACGCCACTCAAGTGGTAGAAGTTTGCCCGTCATCCTGGTTCGGTGAACGCCTCATTAGTTAAGGAGTTCTATGCGAATATTTCCAAGCCCAATCAACACTCCATCTTCGTTCGAGGTAAGCAAATCCGTTTTACATCCACTGCTATTAATCGTTATTTTCATTTGCAGGATGTTGTGGATAACCATGCCACGTTCGAAGATGAAGCCGATAGCAATACATACGATGGGGTCTTGGAGGACCTTTGTTTCGAAAACACTGAGTGGAATGGTCGCCAGACGATCTGATACTCGGTCAACCGGGAACGTATCATTGTTCAGTAAGTTCACGACTGTTTGGGTAAAAAGGCAAGTGCTTTGGTGTTTCCTAATTTAATTACCGCTTTATGTCGTAAGAAAAAGGTTGAGGAAAATGCTTTTGATGAAATTTTACCTGGATTATCGGCATCACTAGGGCTAGACTTCCACTTGTTCGCGTGTTGTGAGTACTATAAAATATACGTAAATAATGTGCAAGTATACACAATCGCTCAAGTAATATAATGATGAATGAGTATCGTCTCCACAAGGATTGGGTGAAATCACAAAAGTCTAACCAAAGCAATGCAATATTCTATCTAAGTATAGTTAGTCTTGATATATACAAATGTCACGGCAATGGATATGTGTATGCTGGTGGATGCTGATTGATGGTGTGATGGTGTAGCAAATGTAAATGCAGTGGCAATGATGGATGTTTAATATTGAGTATGGTGGAATGTCAAGGCAATGAAAATGGTAAAAACAGTAAATAAAAAAGATAAATAAATAAAATAAGAAGAAAATAATCCTCACGTGACAAGCTTCCAATGAAATGAATGGTAAGGATTAGTCTAAGGTTGCTAAACTTATTTCTCAAGTATATTTAAGCTATCTTGACTTTACTTACTCGACAGGGCTTTCCTATGGTGTTCAAAAGAACCTAACAGAATAGGATGCCAAGCATCTGCTCTCACTCAACGATGTTGGACAGCCTACCCTATTGATAAAGACACCCTTTTTAGTCGTTGAAATCCTATCCTAGTCTCTTCCGAGATCTAAGGGATTAAGTTATAATATTCCTAGGCCGGTTCAAAGCCCCTTGAAAATACCATAACCCATTGCTTATGAGGATCTTATCTTGCGTTTCTTCCGAATACTTACAAGTATTTTTAGTTTAGGATTCTTTCGAATACCTAATCTTCATCTAAGAGATGGACATTTCCATGCCTCTTACAAGCCTAGATTGTGAAGCATTCATAAGCAAAGCAAATAAAGAACCAAAATAAACTTAAATATACCATTAAAAATAAAGTTTAAACAACCATTAAATCAACCACCACCAAATAAGTTAGTTCATGGTGGGGTTCGAAATATCCAAACAAAAAGTCATGAAAATATTCGTTCCAACAACCCACAAAATAATATAAAATAGCAGCAAAAAGGGAAGTGAGAAGAAGCCTTCGACGCGCCACCGGAGGTCTCCTCTCGGCCACCACGAACCACCTAGCTCGCTAGCTCCTTTCGGTGCCTAGCTTGCCACTCCTTGGAGCTTTATCAATGGAGGAATATCCCAAGGAATAAGAAAGGAAAAGAGAAAATAAAAATGTGATTTTTCTGCTCTATGCATGTGCTCTCTGTCCGTGTATCTCTCTCTCCCATGAGGTGTCATATATAATAAAAACATATCTAGGGGTAATGATGAGTTTGTTGGGTGCAAAATACCCCTCATACCCCTAGAATCACATGTTGTGCATGAACCTTATCCTTCAAGTGGCAGTGGTCCATTGGCAGCTCTGGCAGGCGGTTACAGCAGTCCTTCACGTGCAGAGACAGCTGTCCAGTGCCAGCTGTCCTGATGCATAAATATCTTTTTTTCTTTTTCTGCGCCGGAAATGCCAAGGCATTTCAATCTGCTTTAGCAACGTTGATGCCGCGACATTACTTCCCAAAGAATCCTTTTTGTTGCTATTCCCTACACACCATAGACAAACTGCACCTTTCCCTCAAACAACACCATTAAGAAATAAAATAGCACAACCACCACAAATGCAACTATATACAACTACATGATCCTAAAATGACTAAAATGAGCTTTTAAACAAACAATAACTTAAGTGAAAAAGGCTTTAAAAGTAGTCTTTTTAGGAAGTTAACACACCCCCAAACTTAAGCTATTGCTTGTCCTCAAGCAATGGATAGCAGTTACATAAGCATAATGTCATGGCAAAGTTCGATAGTAAGACAGTAGGACAAAATTGAATTTCAACCCTCAGAACGATAGGCTTCAACATGCTAGACTTATCAAGAATTCAAGTACTTTTCCCTAGGTCAAAATCCTTTGTGGTAGTGTGTGTGCGTGATTGTATCCAATCTATACTTAGCGAATTTAGACAATTTCTAATCAAGTCCCCTAGTTTTTGTCAAGACATTTACTTATCATTAAGCACATTTTTACTCCCTTTTCTGTGATTTTTTTTTATGCTGTTACGAAGGGAGTCAGCTCATCACACCTACTCTCCCACACTCTAGATGAAAGGGAGCATACCTTCCATCCCCGAGCTAGTTAAGTAGAGTCATCCCGTGACTTCTTTCATTCACTCATATGCACAAGGCTTCCATTTATTAAAGAAAGTTCCAGGAAATGCCACGGCAAAGAGGAGTGTCCCTCTACAGCTATGCTTAAGCATTTATTCACAGTTTCATTTCTAAGGGAGTTTGTTTTTGATTTTTCTTTTAAACACCATACTATATTTCAATGCCAAGACTAACTAAAGTTCCTTCATAAAAATTTCCTAAATTTTCTAAGTATAGAAAACATACAAATCGTGTAAATATTTTTCACAAAGCATCAAGCCCTAGAGTGAGTTCTATCATTCTCAACAGTCATTTACATTCAGATTCTAGCCTAACAAAATTATCATCACCGGGTATCCTCAAAACATTTCATCTAACTGTCCTACCATTTATTGATGCCATGGCATAATACTATGCTAATGCTATCATGCATATGACCTACCAAGAACAATACCTCCCCCAAACTTAAGGGAAGCATTGTCCTCGATGCTTTAAAGAGAACTAAACTAACTATAAACTATATGTAATGCAATGAAATGCAACTAAATGAAAATGGATGCAAGAGAGGTACCTCAATGTTTACATGGTGGTGGTGCTTTGGAGGTGCTAGCAGCTCCTCGTCGGGTGCGCTTTCGGATAGGTGATGGGCTGGACTCAGAAGAAGTGGAGTAATAGTGCGCAATGCGTCCAGCCGTGGTCTTGGTGCGGCGACCACTACGTTGTGCATGAGAAGGATTGAGTGCTGGGACGGGGCTGGGTGTTTCGTCGACAGGGACTGTGGATGGATATTCAGGAGTTTCGGAACGGTGTGTATCAGGAGTAGGGTCATCAGCAGGAGGGTCAGGTGCACGTGCTCAGGCTCTAGAGATGCCTCGGCATTGAATGCCGGCAGAATTTCGTCTGGGAATCCAGGAAAATTCCGTTGTCCGTGGGGAATGATTTCTTGAAAGAATGATTCCACCACAACATCTCTATGCTTCACATATCCAAAGAAGTTACGGATGTCACCGTGTAAAGCATGCATTTGAGCTTGAGTCTGCGTCACAGCTTCCTCGAGAGCAAGTAACCTTGCCTCGGCATTCGATTCTGTAGCACCTGCAGATTGCTCATGAACAGGGTCGTTAGACTTGGGATTTTCAATTCCCAACAACAGTGGAAGTCTAGCCCTAGTGATGCCCGATAATCCAGGTAAAATTTCATCAAAAGCATTTTCCTCAACCTTTTTCTTACGACATAAAGCGGTAATTAAATTAGGAAACACCAAAGCACTTGCCTTTTTACCCAAACAGTCGTGAACTTGCTGAACAATGATACGACCCACATCGATCGGACGGGATACCATTATAGAATGTAAAAGCAATAAGCGTGAAAGTGATACCGTAGTGTTGTGGGAGGTGGGCATGAGTTTATGCTTGAGGAAGTGATTCCATAATTTGGCACGCGGCTGAAGACGTTCCCGGTTGACCGAGTATCGGCTCGTCTGGCGACCATTCCACTCAAAAGTTGTCCGTTGCACAACGAGTATTTTTTTTAAAATTCAAAGCAAACTCGTCACGACGAGGTGAGGAGTTTGGGAGATTTTTTTTTATTTTCAAATTATTTAGTAAAGGTAAAAATAAAAAATTCTAAATGTACTCATCACTTTGAGGTGATGAGTTCTTATGAAAATAATAAAATATTGGCCTACACATGGGGCCCACATAGCTGGGACCATTAAAAATATTTTCAATGGACGTGACGAGTTCCAAGTTCACTGTAGTAAATGCCGTAGATCCCAAAATAAAATCCAACTTGCATTACTGGGCTAATTTATAAAATATTTGTCCAATTGAGCAAAAAAAAACCCTCTTTGTTGGCTGTTCTTTATTTGGATTCATAGCTTTGCTGCTTATATGTGCGTATGATCTATTCTTGTTTGAACCATATTTACTTGCTTTGTATGTATTAGTAGTTGAATGTTGGTAATATAAAACTGAATAATTTACAGGCTGCATAAATATATTTTAGAAGACATTTCACGTATGAAATTTTACCTCTGGGTTCTGTTAACTGTGCTTTATTTGATACTTATGGACCTATCTCTACCTTATTTTGTTTGGGATGTTATTATGTAAAGATGTCAACTGCTAGTTCATGCAGTTTCCTGCTAGATGTGATCTTACTACAGAACCATTACTATTTTCCCCTTTTCCTGCTCTTGTTTGCTGGAGGGTGTAAACATTTTGGCAGTCAATTATGGTTCTCCTGGATCATGCCCTTATCCTCAGAATTTGAAACTTGTAATGCTTGATCTCTTAGTGTATTTCTTCCTGTTCTTAAGCGCACTACAGAAACTTTTAACCCTTTTTTCTCTATAATGGTTTACCTATCTTGACTCTCTGTCATGGAGATAATATTGTGCATATCTTGACTCCCATTAGTTTCTGCTCAAGTTTTAGGGAAGAACCACAATTCTGTCAACTATCAAGAAAACCTGATGCTAGTTGCTCTGATATTTTTTGCTTGTGTGCTTGCTACTTGAACCAAGCATTGAGCAATAGTATGGAAAGTTTAGTCAATACTATGCTTGCTGTAAGGAACATTCATTTTGGTATGTCGTCATGGCTTCATCATCACGTCCTATTTAGAGGGAAATATGACCAACGATGCATTTTTATTTTTAATTGGAAGGCCTCATTTTTTGGAGTATCGATACCTTACCTATAAGTAAGCTACTGGTGGTTTTAATTAGTTGGCATTTGGCAATGCAAAAGCGCAATGGGTGCCGTTGTCAAGCAATTAAGCACCCAAGGCTTATGGCTGCCCTCAATAAGGACATAAAGGAAAAGGAAAGAGAAAAGAATAAATGATAGAAAATAATTCTTGTAAGTTAAAAATAAACTGCAGTTGTGTAGAAGTTTTGTTTGCTTAGGAGTTTTTTATGATAAGAAAGAATAAGTTTTAGGAGTCTTTGTAATCTCTATCTCTTGATAGAATTTATCTTTAGCAGAAAAGTCTTGTTAGAAGTAAGCAACTCAGTTTATTTAAACTACTTTAATCTCCTACATTCAATAGTCAGATTTCTCTTTCCCTCTTTAATATTTCCCCTCCTCTAGTTTATTTCCTTGGATTATAACAATTTTTATACAGAGAAGTTCTTGGTGGACCTAATTGCCTAACAAATGGCAGACAAAAGAAAGCTATCAACTTAATTGGTTGATATTTGGAAGCACGATTGACTGTCATTTGTAATGGAGAAGAAAAGGAAAAGATGTGAAAACATAAAAGATAAAATGACATAAAAGAGTTACTATTAAATAAAATAAACTCGTGGCATAGGATATGCACTTAACTAAAAAAAATATTCTCAAACATGTTTAATTCTTGCATAATTTGTAAAATTGTGTTGGTTTTAAATAAAAAGTATATCGCTCAATTATTTCAGGATAAATTCGAGTTGCGAATTTCAAAACTGAGTTGCGAAATTGGAGTTCGCGTTGCGAATTTGTTGGTCATTTTTCGCAAATCCAAAATAAGTTGGTTAAAATCGTATATTATAAGGTATTTTCGGTCACTGAATTTATTTTCTCTTATTTAAACTATAACTGTTATGGTTTTTTGTTATAAAAAAAGTAAAAAAAATGTGTGTAGCCTATAAGTAAATATACTTCGAAACTTTGTTACGTTCTAAATATAGTAAGTCTTACTCTAGCCTTGTCCTTTTAAAGAACTTTAAGGAAACAAAAGCAGATACTTGGAAGGGTGTATCAAATGGAGCATCAAAATGGGGTATAGTAATATGGAATTGATTTTACGAAGCCTATCTTGCATGTAGATGAACTTGTTTATCAACTTTTAGTTGCTATTTGGAATGAGTTCTCTTTCATGAAAGTATTTCCAATTTACCATGGTAGAGTTCTGCATTTGGCACCCATATCAAATGTCCAAAATTGCAGCTTGATGTCAATTGTGACCTCAGCTTATGAGCTATTCAGCATGTATAGCTGTTTGAGTTTTGTAGACTTGCATAACTTGCTCCATGAAATGTAAAGTTCAATTGCCTATATATAATAAGACGGGACCTTGAAAAAAAATGAAAGGAGATTCTTTCTTTCAAAAAAATTGTTTTCATAACGACTCCCTTGCATTTTATCATCTCTTTTTCAGCCTGTCAAGTGGTCCTTCAGCTCATATCCAGTTTTAAAGAATAGCGAGCAGGCACCGAGGTATGCTGCTTTTGAAAATTCTCTTTTTCCAACATCAACATTACCTGTTCAGCGAAATGGAATGTGCTTTTTTTTTCTGTTTATCTTCTCTGTTTTCTGCAATGTTTGTGGTTGATCTGAAGTCCAAAAGTGAGATTAATAAGACTGATTCTTTAACATTAATTGTGTTGTTTGGTACTGTTAGAAGCCCATTTGTTACTTGAGTAATTTGAGGGAGAAAACAATTCAGTACAATCTTCGCTCTCCTCTCTTGAAATAGGTGTTTGTTTGATTTTTTTTTTTTTTACTTTTTGCCTGACCTTATTTGAATTTCCAAGTGGCTATTTTGAAAAATCTCAACGTCTTTTGTTTCATTTCTGCTCGATAAATGTAGCATTTATGTCACATACTGTTTCATTCTATTCTATAGAGCTCCTATCTTTACTGAAGGAATTCTTGGCGGTGAGAATGGTGACGTTGTGCAGCCACCCGAGAAAACTTTTTGGGCTAAATATGTGAGTACTCAAATTTGGTATAAGCTAGTTGTTTTCATGGCCTTAATAATTTCAGCCTGATGATTGTACCTTTGCATTGCATTATCAGTGGATGTATTTGATCCCTATGGGACTCATCATCATGAATGCCATAACACAAGCAATGAACATGCCCGAGGAGCCGGCTACTGGCCTAGTACCTGCTCAAGGACAGCCTCCAGATGGGGCGGTGCTGCATGGACCAAGTTCCGCTGTGCGTAGAAGATGATAATTGATGAGGTTTGCTAATAATATATCCTTTGAAGAGCACCTGCTCATTACGGTCGTACTTCGAATCTCAATTCAGTGGTTTCGTGAGGAAGATAGGTGCGTGGAGGGGCATTCTTGATGCTAAACTATACTACAAAATAAAGTGCAGTCAATTGACCATTCTGGTTATTCATATTATAAACATTCATTTCTTAGTCACTCCAATTGTTCAGGGGACAAATTTATTGTGGTTGTATCAGCAGGTTTCAAATATTATTTTCAAGGCTCTGTGTTATGGTTTTGTAACTTTTTTTATCAACCTAAAGCAAATAATTAGGACCTCAAGGAATGGGTAAATTGCAGTCAAAACAAATAATCAGCATACTCAACTGCAAATTGAGATATATTTTACAGATATATATATATACATACAAATTATTATCCCCCATCATACAATCAGACATTAGGACATGTGCTATCCCTCCCCCACAGTTAAGCTACCTATCACATGAGCTAATCAACCAAGTATTAGAAAGAGAGAAAAATAACATTTTCAAACAAAATCATTACCTAAGTGGGCACCCCTGAGCATCAAAAGTAGCACTACATATGCCACTTTTCGCTGAAACTGGTTTCCTATGAAAGGGATCAGAAACTTGATTTCATGAGCTTTGCTCGAGGCTTTATACAGATGTTGTGAAAGGGTTTCCCCTGTTCTAAATGGATGTAATCTCTTGTCTTAAGAACCTGTAGATTGGTGAAATGAACAGGAAACAATTAGGGTAAGTTTTACATTCTTCAACGTCTGAGCAACAATAAACTAGGACAATATCAAGATCACATGACCAGATCATGAAAACATTCTTGCTTCCTAATTTCAACAGTTTTAAGAATCAAGTTTATTATTTGATCCTTAATATTTAACTATTGATCGGTTCTACTTCACAATAATGTCAAAAGGTATCCGTAAATTGGGTTTCATACAGTACACTTTAGTGTATTAGTACTTGCGCAAAAGTTGTGTACTTCTATACAAGACAGGCTTACAATGGTGGGATTCTTTACAAGCCCATGTATTCTCATTTTCCGAAAACATAATGCATTGTCATATAAGAAACGGAGATAGATGCAGTTTTTTAACTTTAAATGCGAAGTTTTGTATGCTTAAAGTTACAAATATTACATTCTTCATTAATGAGTAGATAATAGTGTTACGCACTTTAAAAGTTACTTAAGAGTTAAGTTTCAGTGCACATACCAGCGTTTCAAAAAACATCCTTGATGCTTCTTTTCGTGTCTTATGAGCCAATAGACCGTCCATAGAAAATACCTTATGTCCAGGTACAACTTCATCCTCGAATAAATTCTGGAGATACTTGGCAACAGCCCTGAAAGAGAAGGTTTGACCAAATATCAAGATGTGAGCTAGTCTCATTCCAGTTATTCAGCTACAAGAAATAATTTGATAATAATGCTAAATTAATGTCAAAATTATAGGAAAAGTACACAAAGGTAAAATAATCGACTACATGGAGCTTACAAACCTGGTACGAGAAGACCATCCACTGTTTTCAAGAAGATGACTTTCATCACCACATGGCATGTCGTCATCATCATCGCCTAGCTCATCATCATCTACATTCAGAAATTCTGGAAGGAAAGAAAATAAATATTTAGCAACCCGTTAACAATATCAAGATTGGTTAAGTCAAACTGAAGTAAATAAAAGACAGACATTCAGAAATTCTGGAAGGAAAGAAAAATAAATATTTAGCAACCCGTTAACAATATCAAGATTGGTTAAGTCAAACTGAAGTAAATAAAAGACAGATTTTTAATAAATGTTAACATTTCCTTTTAGGGGAAACTTTGGGTGGTCATAGCTCCCTTTGGTCCTAACTATGGTCCACCATACCTACCGAGTTCACAGATTAAATGTAAATTTTACATCTAAATAAAACCCATTCAGTCAAAAAGGTCTTTAAGTCATGTCCAAATAAATAAATGATTTCCAAAATACCCATCATTGGTCAAAACTCAAAAGTAGAAGCAAAACAGAAAGAAATGTGATCCAACCTGTATCATTTGCAATTGCAACACCCTCACATTCCTGCAACCCATAAAATCAAGTCATTTACAGGATTCTTAATGCCTAAAATAAATTATTACAGGCCAAAGCAAAAACAACTTTCATTGGAAAATAATAAATTCATGTAAAAGCACATCAGCAGGACATGAATATAAAGTTTTGTTTTGATAGGATGAATATAAAGTTGAGAAATGAATAGTTACGAGAACTCTCACATGTCCACTACCATGCTCGTTACAATAGATCAAAGTAATACACAACAGTTACTGAATATATTTTTGAAAAAAGGTTTTTGCTTAGGAAAAGAAAAATCAATATTGATGCACCATGCATGTATACACTAACCTTTTCTGAATATAAGGAATCCAGTTTACATTCTTCACGATCCTTATAGATAATGTCTTGTCATCATTATCCAAGAGTGCGCCCTCAACTTGAGCCTCGTCTGCTACACCAGCCTTACCATATCCAGCTTCATATGCATTTTGAGAGTCATTCATAGGCTCACCATTCGTATAGTTGCAAGAGGATCGGTTCCATTTTCTATAGGTGCAGGGTAGTCTGCCTCTGCCATACTAACCTCAACTGAAGTATTGGCTTTACTTTCTTCTAACAATAACTCATCAGTTGCTTTTGATTCAGTTTCAGCTACAACAAAGCTTTCAACATCATGTTCTAAAACTTCAGCAGGATGAGATACTTTGTCATTTCTCATATCCAATTCAGAAGTATCCTCTCCAGGTTGAATACTCGTCTTTTGATCAGGTGGAAGGCACGCTGCATTGTTTAATGGAACCATCCATGGTGTTGGTTACCTCCCCAGCTATCATGCTACCAGCATCTCCAGTAACAAGACCGGTAGGGGGTGATACCCTGAACTCATTCAGAACAGAATGATTTGCTACATTAGCACCTCCGTCAATTTCCATTTCAGTGATCCTATCTAAAGGTTCATGTTGCAGAAGTTGAGGTACGTCATCAACAGCATAGCTATCCTCTGAGCATTAAGATCATTGTGTTCACCCAGATGATATCAGTCTGGTTAGGAATGGCAGAAATTGGGCTTGCTCGTCATTTCCAAGAATCACAGGCACAGAGCTTCCTCCAATTCCACCTTCAGCAATAATAGGTTTGACAAAGGACTCTGAATTCTTAGCCAGTTCAGATGATGCATTGTTTTCCTCGACTTCAGAAATCCTGATTCTGGTTAGATCATATGGTTCACTGTAGAAACATGCCAATTCACCAGAGATACCTATAAGCACACCATCGATTAGCAAACTTATAACATACTAAAGGTACAAGCAATGTGTTAGAAAGTCCTCCAATAGAAGAGGTATAATTGTTTCAAGAATCAAGACAGATGCACAAATATTAGGATAGACCACAAATAAATCTTTATCATCCATACAATTCTAGAACTTGAGTAATCAGTCATGCATATGACATTCACACCAAAAAACAGAACACATATAAAAGTAGTTATGTGTCCACAGAAACGAGGCAATAATGTACAAGCTAATAGGTAAACAGATGAAGTAGTAATAGGATCTGTCTTCACTATAGCCAAAGCATGCCCTAGATTAGACAAACATCTAGAACAACTATAACTTTTCTCAAAGAAGCAAATCCAATTTCAGCAGGGCCTTAAGGATATATTTACGGTTGTATCTATAACTGTTCCTCTTCTTGGGGCAGTAGCACATTAGATGCGTTTTAAATGCACAATCATCATCCCCACTCTCTTCCCACTAGTATTTTACAACACCCAAAGCATATCACGAATTTTCAAGACCATTATAATCAGTTGACAAGTTGAAATTCTTCATCCCATTTGATGCAACAAAAGCGTGCAGATACAAGGAACTTTCAGCACTTGATCTCACCAGTAATATGGGTCATCAAAGATTTCATCTTCCAAGAATTTTCTCTGAATCAATGAAATTTCAGGGCGAGTGCAAGGCGCTTTCTTACGTATGCGACGTATGTCTTCAGTATTAACCAACTGTTGACGTATTGTACTTGATAAGGGGAAAAAAGAAGCTGAATCAGTACATTTGATTTAGAAAATAAAATGCATGCCATACTACAATAGATTGTTATATTTTACACTCAGCAAGTAATCAAGAGTTAATACTATCAACAAAGTCGCAATTACAAAAAATTGTTGACTACAGAAGAAAACAAAAAGGTGCTTCAGAGAAGGATGACACAACACAAGAATTAACATGTAAATACAAAAATTTCCAAGTGCATCAATTCCATAAACAAATTTTGATTTATAACTCGGGCATTAGAGCTCAAATAAGCAAACATGTTATGTGACAGTGCAATAAGAAAAATGGTGATAATTATCAATTTAAATACATTTGAGAAAAGAACCAGCAATAGCATAAGTACTGAGATCTCGAAAAGAGTAAGGTGCAATAAGAACATATTGATAACATACTCGCCATGTAAGACCATAGTATCATCCATAAGCACTTTCTCTTGGAGGCACCAGATTTGGTGCAGATCGTGCTCGTTTCATTGGAGGAGGTGTTGGTTTCATTTTGAAAAGGGAAGATCTTCCAACTGAAGCAATGAAAAATAGCATCATTCATAGAAGTACTTTATAAGAAAATAATCCATTCTATTCTAGTAAATTCTTAGAAGGCAATATACTAGTTCCTTTTAGAGTTAAAAATGTGGCTACCTAAAATAGAAGACAACATCACATCATCGGAACTGAATCTGTAGTTATCCTCGATCGAGATCTTCCGAATGATTCAAATGAGTTTATACTCTCTATAGTTAATGTACCAGTTATACTTCGTTTTTTTCCCTGAATTGAGTTTGGTTCCAGCATCAATTTCATCATTCTCAGTTAGGACTTCTCTGTCTGGGGTAGACACACAGCAAATCACTTGGTTTATCATGAGGTCCTTCTGGCGCAGAGAGAAACTTTTCTGGTGCACGCAAATCAGCGT